GCCACCGTGCGCGGGCGGGCGCCAGCCGCTGCTCCAGGACATGCTGGGTGGGAGAATGTGTACATGGACAGTATAGAAATATATATCTGTGTACATACGCACACACATGTATATGTGCACACACATATATACATACACACACGCCCTAGCTAGTGCACAGAGTCCCCAGTGAGCATGGCTTCTCGAAGCTGGAGGCTGGAGATGCTCTTGCTCCCAAATACACACACACATATACATACATATACATTCACACACAAACTCATATATGTAAATACACACCCCCCAAGTTGTGAGCATGGTTTCCCAAAGCTGGAGGATATATACACATACACATACAGAGATATAAATATATATACAGAGAGAGAGGTCATAAAAAATAAATACACATGTATGTGTATGCCTTTATAAGTGGCTGCGGAGCCGGACGGCAGCTGGAGGGCACACACGCCCAGCCCTTGCTGACCATCAGCTCTTTTCCTTGCCGCCGATGCTTGCAGGTATCTAAAGCCTGGGGAGAGGGGGGGACACCGTGTGGGGCTCAGGAGGGGACAAGGCGCTGCTATTTCCATAGCACGAAGGGCTGAGATGCTTTTGGGCAAAGCCTTGAAAAGTATTTATTTATTTTTTTTTTGCCTAGCAATAAAGGGTTGGCAAGACCCTGGAAGTAGTCCTCACGCACCCTGCCCATGTGCTTTCAACAGCAGTAAGGAGCATTGGCTGAGCATGAAGAGGGAGAAAAAATAAATCTGCAAAATTTGGTCTCTCTAGGGCCACAGGAGCGCCAGCAGTGCCAGCATCGCCCTGGGCTCATGGAGCCCCAAGTACCCACCCTGCTACCTGCACTGGGATTTTGGCTCTCCGGGGTAGCCCTGCGCCCCAGCTGGGCCCCCCAGGCCAGCCGAGACCTGAATCAGCCAGAAACTCTGATTAACAGCTCCCATTCACAATGAAGATGCCCGCAATGAAAAACCACATTATTTTATTTTCTTCCCCCCCCCCCCCATTTTATACAAGGCATGGGGCGATGCTGCAGCATGTTCCTCCGGGCTCACAAAGGTGCTGGGGCTGAACCCCCCCCATCCCGGCTGCTCATCCCACCTGAGAGCATCCCTTTAAAGGCAGGCTGCAAAAAACCCTGCATCCCGCAATCTATTAAGTGGAGGAAAAAGTCTGAGCCCCCTCCTCCTCCACTGCATCCCAGAGGGGCGTGAGATGCTCCCGCTCACGCCCGGCCGAGCCCCGGCAGCGGGCGAGCACAGAAGGGGAGTAGAGGCTATTCATTTTTAAAATACTGTATTTTTAATCCTTAAAAAATACTAGGACAGTATTTAACAAACATCATTACACATCCGGCGGACATATGCTTTCTTTTCATCCATAAAATTAATATTAGCATAAATAATTCTGTTATGCAAAAAGAAAGATTTTTGTCAAACAGCACCGATCATCCGGTTTCGCGTGACACCGAGTATGTACAATTATAATACACGTGCGGGCCCTGGCGGGACACAAGCTCTTTGGAACTGCTCAGTTTGCAGAAAACACTTCAAACTGGGTTTTGATTTGGGATTTTTTTTAAATTTTTTTGATTGGTTTTTTTTTTTTTTTCTCTCCTTTGCTTAAACAGGTAGATATTTTTAGAATAAGTATGTACAGCTGGACACTGGAGATTTGCATTAAGGTGCTTTAATTTGCTATCATTTGTATTCAGTGCATTAAGAAGGCGGCAAATTAAAATCTCCACCCGATTGCTCCGGTTAATGAATGCAACGCAGTTCGAGAGCTGCGGCCAGCAAAGCCGGGGGGTTTTCCACCGCCCAGCCACAGGAATGAGCAATCCTCTTTTTTTTTTTTTTTTTTAAAAAAACCATTTTTTTTAAAGGCTATTATTTTCTTTTAAGATTTTTTGCCTCCAGTTATGAGCCCTGTTGCTTCGGTGGCCCCTCTGTCCCCGCACCGCTGCCACCTCATTGCAAACCCAGGTCGAAGCTCCTCTTGCTGTGGCACGGGGCCACGAGTAGGGGTTGGGGATTTTGGTACGTGGAGGGTTGTTTGGTTTGGGTTTTTTGGGGGTTTTTTTTGGCTTTTGGACCTGTTTAGGTGACTTCACACAAAGGGGTGTACTCTCATACGCAAACCCGAGCTCAGCACCCAAATCCCTCGGCATCGAGGCGACCCTCCGCTCCGGAACGGGCGAGGGGCTGGAGGGGGCGCGGGGGGGAGCCGGCGGCCCTGGCAGCATCACTCCAGCCCCTGGGCGCTCCGCTCCTGCTCCGCCGCGCGCCTGCGGCTCCCGCTTTTAAAAAATCCAAGCTGTAGGGATTAAAGAGAGACAAAAAGAAGAAAACCCCACCATTACTTCAGCTGATTGCTGGGAAGAGTCTCTCTTTTAACGGGATAGTGCCAGGAGGTTTAGACCCTGAGTATAAATAATACGGAGGCAGAAAGAGGTTAGAGGAGCTTTTTGCCCTTCCTGGCAGTGCTGAGGGGCTGTGGACATGGAGCTGGGGGGCCAGGGGGACCCCCCAAAGCATGGGGGGCTCCACTGAGGGCTTAAGGGCTGCTCACCTTCCAGAGCACGAGGACGAGCAGGGCCAGGAGCAGGAGACCTCCTAACGTGCTCCCCAGGATGATCCAGATGGGGATCTGCGACTCCTCCGGCTTGGAGATTTCAAACGTTATCTGCGAGGGAAGAGCATCAGAATCCGCTGCTGCCTCAGGGCAGGGGCAGCGCGATGGTGGGGGTGCTGAGCATCCCCTCCCTTCAGGAGGATGCTGGAGCTGCTGGGGGTGATGCCCACCCCCATGCACCAGGGATTTGGCTCAGGTTTGCCCTGCTCAACCCAGTGGTGCTGGGACTGGAGCTGCCCAGCTCTGACCACAGCTGTACTGAGCTGCCCCAGGCTCTGCAGAGCCGGGTGCCCAGCGTTGGTCGCTCCAGCCCTCCTGCCAGCCACAGGATTTTTCCTGCTGGGGTCAGAGCAAGGTGTTGCAGCATCCCAAAGGCTGCCGGGTCCGTGTGTGACCATCCTGCCCGGGGGCTCACCTGGCGGCTGGGGTCCTCCTCGCGGAAGATGAAGGGGCTCCCGAAGCGTCGCTGGAGAGCGGCGTTCATGGTGAGCTTCAGTGACTTGAACTTCAGCTGCACAAAGAGATGCTGGACATGAGCACTGGCCCTGGGAGAGGACCCAGCACCCTGACCGGGTAACCTCCACAGCTTTGCTCCCCCCAACATGGCTTTGCATCCGTGCCAGGGCTGCCGTGTACTGCCTCCATGGGGGAGGATGATGCAGGTCAAGTAGTGAATGTGGCTAAATTGCAGCAAAAAGGATTGCTCGAGATTAAATGCCCCAGGATGAGGTGCTGTGCGGGATGTTGGATGCACACGCTGACAGAATAAGTAGGATTTGAAAATAAAAAAATCACCCTACACGTGCCCAGGCTCCTTGGGTAGGAAGGAAATCGGCTGCCTCCATGGGGGAGGATGACGCAGGTCAAGTAGTGAATGTGGCTAAATTGCAGCAAAAAGGATTGCTCGAGATTAAATGCCCCAGGATGAGGTGCTGTGCGGGATGTTGGATGCACACGCTGACAGAATAAGTAGGATTTGAAAATAAAAAAATCACCCTACACGTGCCCAGGCTCCTTGGGTAGGAAGGAAATCGCAGGAGATGAAAAAAATCCCTGCATTTTCATGGTACAAGGACTCCTTTGGGGGATTTCTCCTCAAAAGCCACGTGCCTGCTTTGGGAGGACTTACTGCTTTCAGAGACTTCATCCACAGATTGCCACGCAAGTGCAAGTTCATCTCCTCGTTGGGGGCTAATTTCACATTGCAGTCGATGGAAACGATGTCGGAGTTGCTGTGGTTCTGCAAGGGGAGAAGTTTGTGGCGTGGGAGCATCGCTGCTGAGAAGGGGATAAACCCCCCCCGGGCTTCTCACCTGGAGAAGGGGAGTGAGAGCCAAACCCTGTCGGAGGGGCCATGCACCCATCCTCCCCCGTGGCCATGGGGCATCCCCATCTCAGGGCTTTCCCTCTCGCTGCGTGGCTGCCTGGCGTGGCAGGGCTCAGCCTGGGGCCAGGATCGGGCCCGTGAAGGCACGTACCAGGTGGGGGATGCGGGAGAGGTCCTCCTCGGTGGGCACCCTCCGGTAGTCGGTGGTGTTTCCCCAGATGTTGCAGGTTGTGTTCTCCAGCTGGAGAAGACGATGGGCACTGAGGACGGGGACCACAGCGGCCACCGTGCTGGGCACCCATCCTGGTGGAAGTGGGGGGGCCCAGCACTCCCCGGGCTTTGCTGGTGCTGGCAGCTGAGCTGGGGTCGGCTGCCACTGCTGCACCATGGGGCTTGGATGAGGTCCTGGCCCAAATGGAAGCCAGCATCCTACTTTAATTAATTCCTGTGTTTTGTGCCTCTCCCCCAGCAAAAATCAGCCTGGCAGAGAGCCCCATCCAGGCTGCCAGCCACGTGTGCTGGGGTGCCACAGGTGACACGGGGACTTTGCCAGAGCTGGCGATACGAAACGCCCCCATCGAGGCCAAATCCATCCATAAACATGCCATCTCCTGTACTGAGCTCTTGCCATCACCGGTACGTGAGTCCCGCACGGCTGCTGGGGCAGCGGGAGGCTCGGAATGCCCCGGGGTCTGCTCCCAGCCCTCTCACTGCTTTTATGGTTGCGGAAGGCTGCAGCTCACCCCAGGCACAGCTAATGCTTTCAAGACCCTCAAGAATTCATTGCATACCGGAGGGAGGTCTAGCTCGGAGAAATATTTGGCCTAAACCCTTTGGCCACCACCATTTTCCATATTTCCAGCCAAGGGAATGAAAAAGGGAGAAACCCAGGCACAAGCCAAGACCGTCCCGTGCAGGTGTGAGCATGGGGGGGTTTGCAAAAGGATGGGGTGACCTGCTAGGGGGTGTCTCCATCCCCACCCCTGGGGCAGGAAGGACCCACACGTGCTTAATGGGAAGGAAACCCCTCGCTCCTACCTGGTCTACCATGAATTCAGTCAGGAGCAGGAGGCGGTTGCCCCCCCGGGTGGCCACGGGGACGGTGAGCTTGATGGTCACCCCCTCCACAGGGAAGAAGCCCAGGTTCTGCAGCTGTGAGGGCAGAGGACAGAGATGTGGCCAGGATGCCGGCGTCCCGTGGGATGGGGATGAGCAGGGTGGCCGTGGCACATGCCACCTCCGGGATGGCACCTGGGGGGTCCCTCAGCCAGTTCAAAACCCCCTCCTTACCTTGAAGGTGCAATGAAAGGGGGGGCCGATGCTGTCGTATCTCTCCAGGGAGCTGTTCGACCTGATTTCGTAGTAGTCCAGGCTCGACGTCCTGTCGTGACGAAGGAGGACGAGTCGGGAGGAGGGCTCGGAGCAAGCAGAGGACAAAGCAGCCCCGTGCCCAGCTGCCCCCAGCCCCAAGCTGGGCTGCCCCAGCCCCTCCCCAAGGAGAGGACTTCCAGTCTGTCTGGCCCCGTTTCAGATGGAAACCATCACCTGGCTCCACCTCGGCCAAAAAAAGATGAGGGATTTTCACACTGTTCTGCTTCTGCAGTATTTTCCCTTTCTTTATAGAAATTTTCTCGCCTTTTTGTTGTAACAGGCATCCAAGGCCCTGGTCGGCAGTTTGGATGTCACATATAAATCTGGGGATGTAAATCACATCTCTGTTTCGCAGCTGGAGAGGAGGGAAAGGAGCCAGGAGCATCCGACGGGTGCCCGTGGGACCCCGGCCAGGAGCGCCCGGGATGGGACACACGCTCACAGGTATCACGACACAGGGCGTGTGGCCCCAAACCCCCAAAACTCTGAAATTATTCCCCATTTTTTTCCCCCCCACGGGGTGCCCAAATTTGAATTTTTTCATGCTGTTGCTTTTCCTCCAAGTTCTCCCTTCTCCTGTAAGGGCGATGCTGATATTTATTAAATCGCGAATCCCCCCGCTTCCCATAAATCCCAAGTATTAAAGTGGTTTTATTTTCAGTGCCCCACTACCTCTAGCATAAAAAAATAAAATGATTGAAGGTCTTAAAAATCTGCTAAGAATTACGGCAAGCGGTGCCAGGGAATGTGCTCCTGAGGTCCACGTTTGGGGTTTTTTTTTTTTTTTTTTCTTAT